CCGTTCTGCTGTCACTGCTTGGTGCCTTCAGGTTGCCATTTCCCAGTCAGGAAGTTTGGGCAGGCAATTGGAGAACAAATAGGTGGGATTAATGTGGTTTCTTACCAACAGAGAACTGAGCCTGGATTTCCCCTCATAACAGTAAAAGCTAAGGCAGAATTATATTGTTACCTGTTCCAGGAAAAATAAAAGTGGGAACAGCTCTTTCCAGGTTTTGACAATACAATTCAGTGCATATGTTTCAAAGGCTCTTGTTCAGCTTAAAACAGGAACTACTGAACAACTGCAGTGCTCTTGTTTGAACAATTTGCCTTCTCTTTGAACAGGATCCCCTGTGGCTAAATGACAGGAATCCTAAATTTCCATGCTGCCTGTGTGCCCTTTCCATGAAACAGGTTTGGTGCAAAATGAGACTTTACAAAAAAACTTGACAAAAGGAAAAAAAAAAAAATCCATGTGGATCATGCACAAAGCATATTCATAACTCACTACTTTTAACCCAGAGACTGGACTTGAAATCTTACCTTTATTATCTAATAGTTGCACTCAACTTTGTATGAGCAATAACATATAAATTATTTGGAATCTCATCTTTTAGCTGTAAAATGACTTCATATAAAATGAACTCTCAATTCAGCAAGTGCATGAATCCATCTCCCAGATGGAGATCTCCACAGATCTATGGCAATGAATCTGTCACTGAGGGTGTTGTAGGACAGCGTTTTTATCTGATTTTTACCCAGGATAAAAGCCACTAACCTGGAGCCTGACACATTCCCTTGCTGGTGCCCTATTCAGTAACAACTGCTTGACCAGTGACCCCTGATATTCCATTAGTAAAGTGTGCAATTGCAGCTTGCTGCCTCCCACAGTCCTTAGCTCTTCCTCAGGCTCAGGTCACTGCTTGTCACTAATCCTGACAGGGAGGTGCTCTCTGATGCATCTTCTTTCTTCAGGTTCAGAAACGATTCTCTAGTTATCTGAAGAATTTCTCTCAAGCCTTTGTTTTCTTGCTAAAACCAGAGAAAGAAAAAGGCATTTAATAGACTGCAGAAAGAAATGACAATAACCACATGACTAACCTCCCCTCTACTCCAAAGGAATGCATAAGGAGCAAATGCTGACCTGCAGGCAGTGCTGTAATACTTCTACAGCTGAGAACACAAGGTTTCTGACCCTCCTGCTCTCTGGACACTGAGCATCCCCTCTGCAGCTCCCTTGAGGAGGGAAACAGCACTGCTCCCACCAGGGAAGGGTAACACAGCAGCAGTGAGAGCCCTGGTGCAGTGACCCCATGGAAACCCTGTGCTGGCATCACCCCTCACTGTCTGCGCCACTGCTGTGTGTGTGTGAGCCTCACCTCCAGCTGTGTGATGCGTTCCTGCTCCTTGCAGCCCTGTCTGTCATCGATCTCAATGGCTCTTCTCATCACTGCTGCCATCTCTGTGATTTGGTCCACATGCACTTGCAGCTCCTGAGACAGAAATATTTAGTGAGTATTAATGTTTAGTCAAATGTATTGATAATTAGTATTTAGTGGAACATCAATTTAGCAATATATTTTCTGCATTAGTAAAAAAAGTGAAGCATTAAATGCGCACTTTAAATGCTCTGACAATTTATTAACGACGTATTAATTTATTATTTATTTACCCTAAGTTTCAGGAAATAAATTCCCTCCATCTACACATTGTGGCAGACACCATGGTCCTCTTTATGGAGATAAACCTGGTTTGCCACAGTGATCCCTTCTATTAGAAATTTATGACTGTGTCTTCCAGAGGCTCCACAGCTTCCACATGGCTGAGTTAGCACTGTGCTGGCCCTGACAAGGCTTTCCTGAGAATGGCTGTGTATCACTCTGGATATGAAGAACAGGGCGTGATACTCCTTCCAGCTTGAAACCTGAGCCCAGCACAGCCAGCCCAGCCCAGGGACAGGCGTTCAGCTCTCACACACCAGGAGCAGTGCTCACCCCTGCTGCGGCATGGGTTAGGAAAAGTAGGACAGAAGGGCTGAAATGAGGGACAGTGTGGACTAAAGCCAAATCCCACCTTTCAATTCCAGGTCTGACTGAAGCTCCATCCAGCTAGCAGTGACCAGCTTTGTCCTTAAAGTGCCAAAAAGCACTGCCTCACTTGCAATCATCAACTCACCTGACCAAAACAAATATCCTTCACTTAAATGAGCATCAGCCCTTCCCTCTCTGCCATTCCAATTGCACAAGCTATAATTTAGCTGTTTACTTGTTAAATGCCCACTCACAGCAGGCAGGAAATTCCATCTGGACATGAGGAAGAACTTCTTCACTGGGCAGGTGACCATGTATGGGAACAGACTGCCCAGTGTGTGGAGTCTCCTCACTGGAGATATTCCAGAACCATCTGGACATAATCCTGTGCCATGTGCTCTGGGATGACCCTCCTTGAGCAGGAAGGTGGGACCAGATGACCCACTGTGGTCCCTTCCAGCCTTACCCATCCTGTGATTCTGTGAGGTTGGGAAGATGTGCTGCAAATCTTTATTTTCTGCTCAGTTTCCAGTGCAGGTTATTACGTAAAACCTTTTTTTTCACTGAACACCCAAATTTAGCTTGACAGGAAGCTGTGGTCAGGGTGTAAAAGATGTACCCTTGAGAAGGACTGTGAAGGAGTCATAGGTTTCAGATATACTCCTGTCCTCCCTCCTTCCTGTTTTCCCAGCTTGTGTGGCCTCTGGATCAATAGGACTTCAGGCCTGTTCCAAGGTCATTAATGTTTGATGCTAACACAAACATGTGAGGTTCTGTTCTGCAAGGCAGATGTGGAAACTCAGATGCTGCAATACCAAACAATGCCATGAGAGTGAGAGCCTCAAGCATCTATAAACACTGTGTATCTCTCTCCTTTCTTTTGTACATATTGTTTTTTTCCAAAGAGAAAAAAAAAAGAGCCACATACATGTTTAGGCCTTGTTTCAGTTGAGCATATTCCAGCAGCACCCTTAGGTCAGGAGCACCAACACACACTTTTCTCTCGCACACAACAGTGCTGAAAGAAGGTGTGTTCTGTTTAAATGAGATCTGCAGAAATCAATGATCTTGTAATACTCTTCTGCAAAGAGGCACTAAGTTAAAAGCTGGCACGTGAGGAAACAGCCGTTTCTGCCAACTGTGAGGTTAATTCCTAAAGTACAATGGAGTCTATAATGGATTTTCAGGTTAACAAGAGAAGTATTTAAAACTGCTTCAAGATTGTTCAGTCTTACTGAACGTGAAGGCTGAGAAGAGAATAAATAACAAAATTCCAGAAATCCTAAGTGTCAGGTGAAGGGTGATAAATCCTTTTCATTAGGCATTCTTGTGTGATCAGGTTTAGCCAAAGTGCTGAAGCCTAAATCTCCTGTTTAAGTAACAGTGTGTGATACTATTTTTTACTTTTTTTTTTCTTTTTCCCCAAGTTTTTAATCCATCAAAGTGCTCCTAAATGAAATTCCAAAGTCCACTTTAGGATGGATGCAGTTTTACCCTCTTATGTTGCTACTGTAACAGATGCTGCACTATCTGCTGAGGTAACTTCTTTGCTACAGGATCTGTACCTGTCATTTTTTAGGATTTTATGTTAAAGGCATAGTTATAATCCAGTAATTTTTCCATACCGATGGCACTAATTACATACACAGGATGTTGTAAGGAGGTAACAAAGCACCAAATCCTTAAACTTTGTTTTCCAGTGTGCAGAGCCTAACTTTGCTGTGCAGACTGAAGTTAGCTGAGGCCAAAGATTATTAAACACTTAGAACTAATGTTTGCCTGCACAGTTGCATTGCTTTCTAACGATTCTGTTTCATTTAACATGCAATACAATACTGTGCTAGAAAGCTCCTGTTTAGATCTGGCAGTGACCAGGAATAATGAATTTTCCTCAAAATACACTAAAAAAGCCTAAACTATATATTAATGCTATAAAAGCATATATTGAACTCGCATGAAGCTGCGAAACACTCACAAATACTCACGAGAGTCTAGAAAAATGTTTCTTGATGGCACTTGGCTTTTCTAATTTTCAAAAGCCATGAGATGGAACATACCTAATGCCAGAAATTTTCACCACCCTTCCAGCACCTCAGGCTCCCCAAAAAGCATAGGTTTGCTACTTACTTATTGGAGTCGGGCTCAAGTTAAAGCCAGTCTAAATGTCTGACTGCTACTGAGATCTGTAGGATTATAGGGCAGTTGTTCACCACTTGTTAGTAGCTCAGTGATAAAATCTGAGACAAAATAAGCTTTGAACTGATCTACTACAAACTAACTGAAGTGTTTACTGAAAGAAACAAAGGCAAAAAACTCAATGAGATTGTTACCTTGGAATGTTGCTCTTTTAACTTCATTATTATACTTGGATCATCCTTTTTGCTTGCCATGAGCAACCTGAACATCTGTTCCCTGTACTTGCTCATGATGAGTTCCAGGGCAGACTGATGCTCTTCCAGGGACGTGCGCAGCTCTGCCAACATCATTTAGAAGTCAGAGTTTAACAGAGAAGAACCAAAACAAAATGCAAAAACATTTCAGCTTGAGAAAACCAAAATGAGCCCCTAATTGAGTGTCCCTCTCTGTGCACCATAAAATCTCAGTGGGCTCTGCCAATGGCTTCTGTGGGACTGCCCAGGGACAGCTCCGTCACACATGGGAGGTCTCTGTCAGTATGGTCCATGTTCTGTCGCTCTCAGCCATCAGGAGTGGCTGAGCAGCTTTCCTCTAGCCACTCTAAGCCACACAAAAGCTAGGAAGAAGTCCACAGATGTGTTTTCAGCTGCAGCTTGGTAAAATGAGAGTTAACAAATGCTTGTGTTGAAAATATGGTAAGCTAAAGGACAAATCACCCCCAAGACAAGATTCATGTGAATGGAGATTATTGAATCCTGTGCTGGATGTAACTGCTAGAATACCTAAGGTGTTCCAGGAGGAACAATACATTCCTAGTGTACAAAATTCCAGGAGGAATTATACTACTGTACTTATACTACAACTTGTCCTGATTGCTCCCAAATTATTTTCAGCAGTGGGAAAACACCTTTCCAAATAGATCTTACACTGCTGATTTAAGCTCTATTTATCTCCTGTCTTGTGCTGAGCATTAGGTAAGGCCTGAAAAAGTGATTTTTCCCAAATCTCTCTTTCTGTTAATCAGTCCCAGAGCTTGGACATTAGGGCTCTTAGACAGTATTTTGACAAATTAAGAGTAGAAGAAAGAATTTCTTCCACAACAATGTTCTGAGAAAAGATCAATGGTAAAAGTCTCACTGATTCCAGAGGTGCAGGCTGGAACTGGAAAAGGATAGAATATTCATGTTTTACCTTTATTTTCCTGTTGCAATTCCCTGATCTGTCTGTTTTCCTGCTGGATACCCATCACCAGCGTAGACCGAGGGCGATGTCTTGCTACTTCATTGAGCTCTTGGATTTCTTCTTGGTACTAGTTATTAAAAACAACAAGCCACAACACATTTGGGTAACCAAATACATCCACTGCTCAGCAGGGCACAAAGGGCCAGCTTTGCTGTCAGGCACTGTCTAACCAGCAAGATAATGCTTGGTTTTAAATAATATCAAACACACATCTGGAGCTGTTGCTAACACACTGCCCTTTCAGAGACACAAAAGTGTCACCTTTATTTCTGACCAAGTTTCAGACCTTAGGTGTGTGCAGTGGGTGTTACTTAACCTTCAATTCATGCAGGTCAAGTTTGCCATTGAGTAACTGAAAACTGAGGGAGATGTGGTAAAGACAAACCATGAGGTATTAACCTCTAGATAGCTCCTGTGGCTTCCCAGTGCCTGAAACCACGAGGTTGTGTGGGTACAAGTCCCAGGGACCCGAGGGAGCGCACCCTGACTGCCAACAGATGGGTAAATTCAATACACTTGATCTGAAGCCATGAAGCCTCTGCATGACTAGTTTTACAGGGATGAATTGCAGGCAGGGTTTATTATTTTATAGGCCTATTAGCATATCCTGGGTTCTACTAAAGTGACAGGATGCACTCCCATATGGAAAGTCAGTAAACACCTCTCTGTTTTTCCAGTTCTCATGCAAAAGTCACACTCAATCTAACAATAAGCCTTGAAAGCTTAACATCTGAGCAGAAATGATGACAAAAAAAAAGCCCAAGAGGCTTCTTGGAAACAAAAGCAGGCTGCAAAGACAAAGTATTCTGAACAGAAGAAAGTGTGACAGAGCCTCTGTGTTCTTAAATGTGCATGTGGGAATGAATGGAAACGAGTAGAGTTGCACAGGTGAGCAAAAAACCACGAAGTTGTTAGGTATCAACCCTACACAAAGGGTTAGGTATCAACCTCCTTTCTAGCAGTGTTTTTCAAACAGCACTTACTTGTTTTCAATATCTAAGCTAGAGTGAGAAAACTTTTCCACAGGATCCAATCATATAAACAACCTAATTTTAGATCCCAGTAACACCTATAATAAAAATACCCAGTGTGGCATTAAGGGATTAACCAAACCCCACAGCAATTCTGCACTGCACAGCAGCACACAACAACGGGCTGGAATTAGGTGCTCCCCAGCTGATCTTTTGATAGAGTAACTAGAAGTGGAAAGCAAACCTGTTTCATGGCTTCGACCCGTTTGTTGAGGGCTGTTGTCTGCTCGATGAGAGCTTCGGCCGCGTTGTCGTGTTCCCTCAGCCGCTCCACCAGTGCCTTCGCGTCCGCCAACGCCTTCTCGATGGTGCAGCTCATTTCTGAACAGGAGACATCCATTACTCCCACAGCACCACCCATGTGGAGAACACCCTTCTGCAGTCTAAGGCAGCTGAATACAACCTTTCCCTCAGAAACATTCAGATGGATTGATGCCTTCTGGGAGTGGGAAGAGTTTATGCATCTTAAGAATACCCTGAAGTTCTTTTCCCACCTTTTTAACTGCTGTTGAGGCCATGGATCAGAGCAAGGAATTGAAAGTAAACTTCAGGTTGTAAGGAGAGCATCAATACACAAAGTGCCAAAGGCAGTGTTGGACACATGAAAACTGAGCAGTGCATGTCCTCTAAGTCTGGGGAGGGACTCTCTGTTAGGAATGGCAGTGACAGGACAAGGAATAATAGGGATGGATCGAAAGAGGGAAAATTAGATTAGATATTAGGAAAAAAATTTTTCCTGTGAGGGTGGTGAGACCCTGGCACAGGTTGCCCAGGGAGGCTGTGGATGCCCCAGCCCTGAAAGTGTTCACGGCCAGGTTGGGAAAGGCCTTGAGCAACCTGCTCTGGTGGGAGGTGTCCCTGCCCAGGCATTGGGACTAGATGATCTTTGAGGTCTATTCCTACCCAAACCATTCTATGATTCTAAGTAGCAGAGAAAAAAAAAAGAATATTGCATCAACCACTTAATTTTTCATTGCTTTTTTTTTTTTTTTTCCAAATTTGCCCTCCTAACAGTCAGATATACTTCAGGATAACTGAGGTCTAAATCCAGCACAAGAGAAAGCCAAAAGATTACAGTGAGCTGGAAGATTCTGATGAACTGAATCAGCAGAGAAGGAACAGCTCAAACTGACAGAGTAGAAAAAAATTGCTCAGGGAAAACTCAGAAAACTAAAGGCTTGTGTTTTCTTCATGTCTGTAAATGAGCACAAACATCACTGCATGGAATGGGACTAACATTTTCACCAGGATGGAGAAAGACAGCAAGGACAAGAACTAACTGCACAATTAAAGTACTGGCCTTCCAACTGCAGTAGTTGTTAGAAATGACTGACTCCCAGAACTGCCAGGGGCTTGTGCATTTCCAGAATACTGGCCTACATGTGGAATGTTTTTCTTCCCCATGCCTGGTAGGTTAGGTTTCCATTCTGAGGTTTTCAGCCTAAGCTTTTATTTTCTTTTAAGAAACCTTTCACTCCTTAATTCTTTGAACAAGAATCAGCAGTCAGACAGCAGAGATAGAGCTTTATGAAAGTTATGGGCCTTACCAGTATCAGCCTTAATATCTGGGGTAGGGAATGTTGCAATGCACAGAAGGAATCAACTAAATCCACTTTCTAGCCAGGCTGTTTGTGAAAGTAAAGCCTTTTGTAAGCATTAAAGATTAGTGAATCTTTCCTGAGCTACACAAAAAAAACTGCTTCTGATTCTCCAGCTTTCTCAGGCACCTTTATAAACCATGGTCCAGGATCTTCAAGCCAAGCTTGAAGAAATCCTCACATTTGCCTCACCTGACCTTTTCCCACTGCAGTAGAAGGATATTTCAAACACCAGAAAGTTAACCAGTGTTTTGTGGGATTCATGTGTTATCACTGTTTTTAGGGATCTGCTTTTCTGGTTCCTCCTTCTAGTCCACAACTCTTGCTGTACTACAGAAATATCACAGCCAGAAGTCAACCTTCCACACCAACTGGCTGAGCTACTGCAGAAATGGATTTAAAGAGATCCATGCTCAAGGAGAACCTGAAGAACAGTCTTTAACTCTAGTCATAGTCCCGGAATTCCCTGGCCAGTGTAAACAAAGCCTCTCCATGAGCTTGGAATACATTTGGCATTCAGACGACACTGCAGTTAACACCTCTGATGATTTGTGTGCATCAATATACATTTTAAATAGTGCATGTGTTGGATACATGCACTTTCTCCTTTTGCCCCAGCACAACCACACCAGATGATAAGAAGCTCGTTTGTGGCAAAGCCACTTATCTTCCTTTTCACAGAGACTGAGCTGGGAAGAGAGATGTGGAATGCAGCCCCACAAAACAGCAGTGCCTGTCCCCTGTCACCATGCAGCAGCTCCAGCAGCTCAGGGCCAGCTCCTGACTCCAGGATTTGGACCTCTATAAGCAGACTCATTATTTGTATCATGGTAATTCGCAGCGGCTCCAAATCCTGGCTATGATTCCTTCAGGCAGGACATTGGCCCTAATCCTTGGAATTTAAAATTCTCTCTGGCTGCCTGTGAAAAACAAAACCTTTGTCTTATGCTCAAATTGAGCTAAACCTGTGAGTTAACCTGGAAATTTAGTTGGGAAAAAACCCCAAATAATCAAATATAATTGATTTAAACTCTTATATATTCCATCTTTATGAGCATGACTGCAGGAGCTAAGCTTGATGATTGCTGAACTCTGTCCTACAAGAGATGCCCAGCTGAACACACACTCGTTAGTCTGCAATCCTGTCAACAGGTAGCAGAGCAGCAACTCAACACAGCAACACTCCTACTACACATCCATTTCCTGTCACTTCCTGCCACTTACTAATGCCTTTCATTACCAAATTTGGCTGCCCTTAAAGAAAAACAACACCAAAGAACAAAGACCTTTGTGCAACTATCACCTTCTGTCTCTTCCTTCTTTTAAACCCTTACAGGAAACTACCTTCTCCCAGAGCTTAACCCTTTGAGTCTTTGACCACAGCGATCAGCGCTGAGCCAGGATGCACTTTCCAACGGCTTCATTTAGGCGAGTGCAAACATCTACTCGCACTCTCAGTGTGACAGAGGTGTCCGGGGGTACCATTGC